GCCCAGGGTCAGCGGGTAAGCGCGCTCGATGCTGATCACTCCCAGGCCTGCGGGAGAAGCACCCCGTCCTGTCCCATCGCTCCCTGCCAGCGCTGTCCCCATGCTCTCCCAGGGAGGCACAGCTCCGAGCGCTCCTCCAAGTGCTCTGGCACTCGTGGGCTGTTGTGGGGGATCAGCACATGGCAGGAGACCAGGTGTAGCTGAGACTCACCTATCAGCGGTGTGATGGCTGAGGTGAAGACAGAGCTGCTCTGCACCACAAAGGTCATCCCAGCACCCACCACCATGGCGAAGTACCCGGTGAGCCAGCTGAGCGGGTGCGGGAGGTCTGCCACAGCATGGCCATGGACACAAGCACAGACATGGGCATGGACACATCAGCTGAGAGCAGCCCAGAGCACCTACATGGTGCTGGAGGGGGCTGTGGGGCCAGGGTTTGGGTACGGGGTCAGGCTGTGGGTATGGGCCAGCCTGGTGGTGGCTAGGGAAGGAGGACATGGACATCAGGAGGCCATGAGCAGGGTGAGGATCAGGGGCAGGCATGGGACATGGGGGTTCAGGCAGGGCTGGGACTCAGGGGCAGCCAGGGATGGGTCTGAGGATGGCAGGTGAGGATAGGTGGCCATGTGGCAGGCAGGGTCCCATCCCACTCACCCCACAGTGGTCCCTGTCCCTCTCACCAGTGTTGATGACCTTCTGGATGGCTTTGGCCACCTGCCCCTTGAGCAAGGAGTTGAGGAGTTTGACCAGGAGGATGAGGCAGGTGCAGAGAACGATGAGGGACCCGGCCAGCAGCACCGTCAGGCAGCGGCGTGTCGGTGAAGAGGTGCTCGCCTGCCCCACAGCACAGCTGGGCGAGGGGCTGGGGCTGGCCCGGCCCCACTCACAAACTTGCCCACTCGCAGACAGCCCCACACCCCAACCCCAGCCCCAACTTCTCCCAGCTCTCTCCCACATCATGGCTCCAGACCCATTCCCATTACCCCTCCATCTCACATACAGAACCCCCAGCCCTGCCCAAGCTCCCCCTGGCACCCACTCACACTTCTGCCTGGTGATGTTGTGGAGGCTGTCCATGCCCTTAGTGCTGCAGTGGCCAGGGGCCGTGCAGTTTGAGAGGGGCCCAAGCCCCACAGTGGTCATCTGCAGGGAGAGAGTGGTATGCAGCCAGCTCCAGCGTCCTGGGCCAGCCCCTGCCCACTACCCACCCTCTGCAGGATCGTTTGTTGGCCCCAATAGGGCCACGAGCCCCTCACCTGTGGGGGTGCAGGGCCACACCAGACACGGATGAGGCTCCGGTTACGCAGGCTCTCGTCTCCCATTGCGATGCCTGTGATCACTGACTTGTCCAGCTGCAACAACACACAAGTTGGATAAGGCCCTTGGGGTCTCACAGGACCCCTAGCTTGGGGGCATCTTCGCTGGGATGGGAATACCACTGCTAGCATGGGGACACTTAGGTACAACCACTATCAAAGGGATGCCAGTGCTGGGGACATCACCACCAGCACTGGGATAGCAGTACTGGGGGACCACCACCAGCAGCCTGGGCTGAGGAGACCTGGATGACGAGCTTAGTGAAGGGCTCTGTGATGATCTTCAGCAGGTCAGGAGCATCCTTCCCGCTGCGGATGTTGAAGGTGGCCACAACCAGGTGGGCAACACGATGCAGGTACCCGCTCACTACCTCCAGCGGCAGCAGGACCAGCACCGACAGCCAATTGAAGCAGTCGTGCACTGTGGCGCCAGCGAAGGCCCTGTGTGGAGGAGCCCATCAGCATGGGGTGGCCCCTGGGAGCAGCCCATGAGTCCCTGAGCAACGTCCTGAGTCCCCACTGCCCCAACAAGCTCTCACCGTTTGAACTCATTGCGGTTGCCGGCCTGCATGAGGGCCACAATGGTGTTGGTGACGGAGGTGCCGATGTTGGAGCCCATGATGATGGGGATAGCAGAGCGCACCTCCAGCACTGGGGACAGAGAGACCTGCTGGCTCCACACAGCCTGGCTCAGGATGATCCCATCTGGCCACCCTGTCCCCCAGCCTCAGTCCCCAGGAGCCCTGCGAGCACACTCACGCCCCGAGGAGACCATGCTGACGATGATGGAGGTGGAGGTGGAGGAGCTCTGCACCAGCACGGTCACCAGGATGCCCACCACCAGCCCAGCGACTGGGTTGGAGAGGATGGCGTTGTCCTTGAAGATGTCCCCGGCCACCTTGCCTGCAAGAGAGCAAGAGGGGCAGGGTGCCGGCACAGTGGGTGCCACCAGCCCAGGCACCCCCACCACCCTCCCTACCTCCGGCCAGCTGGAAGGCAGAACTGAGCACGTCCAAGGAGCACACGAAGAGGTACAGGAACCCAAACATCAGGGGCACCTTGAGAAGGGAGACACAGATGGACTGGACCGCGGCCCAGCACGCCAGCTCTGCACAAGACAAGAGAGAGTGTTAAACACCAGCCCCAGCACAGCCCCGGCTCCCCAGGCTCCTGCGCCACACTCCCGTGCCCCTGCTGGGGTGGGGCTCGTGTCCCTAGCCATGCCACCGCTCCCCAGGCCCCCTCCATCTCTTCCCACCCTGGAGCACTGTGTGCCAACTGTCCTGGTTGCTCCTGGGCTCTGCCCATGGCACCCCGGGGAGCTGAGGGTCTCTCCCACTGGCAGGAGCCCACCACGCTGTGGGTCTGGCTGAGGTGCCAGAGTGAGGACTGGCACCACAGGGCAGTGGGGATGAATTGCTACCAGTGCCAGGGACAAATATAGGGCTTTCCTGGGACCCCACAGTCCTGGCATCCCGAGGCTGCCCTGGGTGCCTCTGGCAGGTCTCTGTGGGGCTCCCCAGGCTGGGTGCTGTATGCCTGCCACCC